TTTTTGGTGAAGTACATATTGCTATATACAGTTAATGATTTAAACTATATAATCCTACTTTATATATCTATCCTAACTCTTATATGGATTTATCTTGTGTTTACACTGACTAAACCAGGTTGTATTCCTTCAATCCTTATTTCGAACTATTTTTCAAGGGGACCCAACTCTCTATTTTTCATCCTTTTCTGAATTGAACACCATACTCGGGATTTGCAAGTAGTTCTTCCTAATCTGGTTAGTCCAGAGGTCTTGATGTTCATACTACTTCTATATCAGGGTCTACCATAGAGGCTTATCTTGTTTTTGCGCCGACATGCACCGGTTTGCATTCCTTCATCTGGGTCTTCCCCAAATGAACACTCTACTGTAGATCTTATTACACTACAGTACTCCTAGGAGCAGTACCCCTGGTCTGTGCCCTTTCGGTTACAGTATACAATTCCACTACAGATTAAGTTGACATATCCAGAAGGGATATACAAGAAGTAGTTTTCAAATTTTCGTCACTGGTAGGATTCGAACCCTAGACCTTGCTACTTGGGGGGTGACAACTCTACCACTTCGCTATGTCGCCACACCCTTCCATATAAATTATTTACTTAGTTACAATAACTAAATGTATTAATAAAAAAATTTATCAAATATCAATTAGAAATTTAATAATTAATATCGATTAAATAAAAACATTTTGATTCAACTACTAGTTAGTTTAATTAGAATAATTGGGGTTTTATTCGAAGCATTTTATTTTTAAACATGGAACTCATAAATTTAATTAATTATAAAGAAAAAAGCAAGCCGATAACAATTCTACTAAATAGTGTTAATTTTTTAATTTATCATGTAGATATCTGTGCAGCAAATAAGAAAATACTACAAAATTTTTTTCTGTATGATATTTGCCAATCTACGTATACAAAAAAATGAGCAAATTCTCAATTTTGATTGGCTTACGGCCAAGAATCTTCAAAATTTTGGCCCACATTAAATAATTGCTTACTAATTTCCGGCCAGAATTAACTTTTTGATTTTTTTCTTGGATAATTTTAAAAAATATGCTCGCATTATGGTAAAATTGGTAATTATATTTGTAAAATTACGAGTAATTACAGGCTAATTTTTTCTTAGCCAATCAGAATTGAGTATCTGCTGTGACAATTTTGTTGCAGCAGCTATAGTTAATTATTTAGACTATGTTGTGTGTTAATTAAATTAAGAATTTATTTGTTTTATAACTTATTTATATTTTAAATTAGCTTCTCTAGGATTATTATTTGTTTTATAACTTATTTATATTTTAAATTAGCTTCTCTAAGATTATTTCACTATCTCACAGAATATTGTAATCAAAATAGAATAGTGGTGTAAATAAAAACTATATACAAAATAAACTAAACTAAAAAAAAAATAAATAATAAAATAAATAAATAAATAAAAAAAATACAAATTATAGAGATAAATAAATATTTTATTAATAATTTATCTTAAAGAAAAAAATTCAAATTACCACTTAAATTTTTTTGTCAGGCAACTTTGAGTTGATAAAATGATGAATGATGAAACCCATGATGCATTGGGGTGTGCAATATACTATGTAAATCAAAACTATATATAGTATCATATAAAAGCTTAATATTTAAAATTTTATATAGCTAGAGTTTGAAACTGATTTCGTTTTTTGATTCAGATTAAATTTAATTAATAAAAATATGCTTCAGATTTTAATTCGGATTTATCGAATATATTCGGTTGTGCCTAGGTTGTTACTGCATAAGCCTGCATAAGCATAATATGTACTATTTTCTCATAGACTTTCAGTTATTGTCATTATGTTTATTTAAGGTTGTTATAAAAATAATGGATAATCTTAATCACAAAGTGTATAGGTATTTCGGTTATACTTTTTTAAAAATTAAGCATTCTTAACTATATGTTTACTAATTATATTTTAAGCATGTAGTTTTGATAAAGTTTGACAAATTACAATATACTAAAGTTTAATTGTTTTTAAAAAATGTTTAATATCTAATTTTACATATACTTTATTATTTTAAATAGTTTTTCACATTAAAAATTTAGAAATCAGCAGAATCAAAAAATAAAGGTGTATATACATGTGTAACTTAGCTATGATACTTTTGCAGAGTAACGAGTAAATGCCAATAATTTTTTACTTGTAAAATATTATAATCTATTAAAAGTATCTTCAAGTAATTGATATTTTTTATTTGAGAAAAAAAAGCTGATTGTATAATTGATTGTATATCTTCTTTACAGTCTTGATTTAAAATCTTTGAAACTATGCCTTAGTTAGAAACCAGATCCAATAGTTTGAAGTTGTCTATCGTATTTTAAACCTGTTTCTGCTTATATAAAAAAGATTAATTGATAATCCACCAGTAATCTGAGTCACATTCTGCTATGATCATTCTTCAGGTGACTGGTGGATCATCAATTAATCAGAAAAATAATGATAAACTAAAAAAAAAAGAAAAAAAAATTATTCATTATTCTCCAAGGGCAAAAACATAGAGAAGTATGTACTATTCTATTTTAAAAATAAGATGCAATCAATTAAATTAGGTGCTAATCAAGTTCTTTCAGCCAAAATATTATTTTTAGTATCAGAAAAAAGCCTTTCACTAGAAACTGATATGGTGGGAATTTAAAGGTATTTAAGAGCTAGTTGTGATAAAGTAGGAAAGCTTATTTGATGATTCTGCTACAAAGTTAAAAGATCAACACTTTTTGGTTCTTCATGATAAAGTAAATAATAGAAGACTTTGTCTTCTGTTTGTGATTGATTATTAGTCTACATTCTCAAAAATATGTCCTCAGTATTGTTGATCGGATTCATTGTCAAAGTTGTCTCCTTAAGATTTTTAATTGCTTGGTCTTGTTTTAGTTGAGTATATAAATCCCTTAAAAGGAATTTAGCTTGTGATTTTTGCTGTGTATATTTAGATCTATTTACAAACAAAAAGTTTTTCATTCTAGGGTCTAATATCAATGCAACTAAAAAATTTCATTGGGCACTTCCCATAATTTGTTTAAAGAAAGATATATAGCAGCATAGACTCTTTGTATAAGATTTTTAGTCTGACTAGTAGTAAATATTCAACATTATTAGCATTTTTATTTTTATCTTGATTGGATATAAGCCTATGACTACGAACACGATTTAGCATTACAACCAATAATTGAAAAATCGATTAGTTATTAACTAATCGAGTAATAAATTAATTAGTTGGAGAAAGAGATGAATTTGACAAAAATAATAATAATAATATGCACAAAAATCAATTTTTTCATAAACTATTAATTAGAATTGCATTATTTAGATACTATTTAATTTGTTGTAATGAGACGAATCCAAAACATGTGATTCAAATTAATAGTTTATGAGATAATTGATTTTTGTGCCAATTTCACCCTTTTTTCTCAGTCCTAGTTAATTAATTAATTACAATTTCTTGACTAACTAATTAGTTTCAACTAAAACAAATAACTAATTGATTGATAATTTATAGCACTACCTCGACCATAACCATGTATACTTTTTACTCATCATTTAAATTGTTGATATGCATGCTGGAAATACTATCGACTTTCTGCAGTTGAAATATCATTATTGTCACTTGTAAAACTTGAATTATCACTATCACCTTCAATATTTTCTAAATTATTATCTGATATCAAGAGCCTATAGATTAAGTCTAGATAGCTATCAACAGTTTTATCATCTTCAATTCTTGGAGCAAACATTTTTTTTAATATATATATATATGGATGAACCATGTTTAATGTTGGATATGAGGCACCTGATAATTACTGTATTATTGTTTCAAATAGTTCCAGCAATTTGATTATCTCTTCAATAAACCTAATACATACAAATAAATTTAATAAAAATTAGTGTTAAATTGAAAATATAATAACCAATATAAAAATAATATAAAACATAATAAATAAATAAATGAGATAATTAAAAAAAAACTGGCAATAATAATAATACAGTAAATATAAATAACACCAGAAATTTAAATAAAACTTTTAAATGGCTAACAAAGTAATTATAAATAAAAAGAAGTAAATCAATTTACTAAACAAAATGCACTCAATTGTTCAACTCTTTCCAATGATCACTAAAACCAAAATTTTTCAAACTTTTTTGTAAAAAAACTGTAACTAGTAAGTAATGAAGAGCACAAAACTGGAAACTATTAGTCCTCATACGCTACCTGCTAACTTCTTCAGAGTTTATCACTTACTGCTTGTAAGGCACTTGTCATTTAGAAGTAGTTCTCATATGCTACTTGCTGACAAGTTTAAAGTTTATCACTTATCGAAAAGAAAGTACAGTAGCTCTTCACCTTTCCTAAAAAAAGAGTTACTAGTCATCAGTTCTTACAAGGATAAAATACTCTCATTGGGTGCTAGTAGTCCTTTCTTTAGGTCTCTCTTGTCCTGCTGATCTTCTCTAAAATTTTCAACAAAAAGTAGGCAATTTGACTTACTCTCTCCAAAAGATCGGCATTGTTTATCTCCCAAATTCAGACGTACCCAGGAATGCAACTATGTGCTTTGTTTATCAGTGGATATGATATGTGATGTAATCTGTAGATAGGAATCTCCATGCGACTGGAATCGGGTCTCTGGCATAAGAGGCATCTGGAGGTGGCTAGTAGTCAGATATTAAAGTTCTTATATTGTAATCGAGATATACAAATATTGCAGTTGTTATAAAATTTTTTCTTAAACTTGGCATGAGTTATAATAGTATATTTCTTCTTGTTTTGTTTTTTTTCTTTCTTTTCCCTGTGCTATTTCTTTATAGAGGTAGTTTCCCCTTTGTTAGCCCTCAGGCTTTTCTCTTTGTGTTTCTTTTTTTTTTTACATCTCATTGTACCCTCTTTTTTTTCTTTTAAAAATATCACTTTGTTCTATTTGTTTTTTTTTTAGTTAGTTTTTCATTTTGTTTTCTTGGTAGTATTGGTAGTTTTGTATAAGATCATCACTTTCTTTTGCTCTCAGCAAAGAAAGGAGATATGAAGAGAAAAGCTTTAATGGGCTGACAAAGTTTATCTAATTTGTATACAAATTGGTGCGACAAGTCACATGTGGGCACGTTTATCATAGCCGGGTGGTGTCAGACTCACAATCGCGTGATTCCCTGTTTTTTGGTTATGAATGATATATGCATTGTTCGAGAGAGCTCAGCTCTCACCTGAAATATAGTCCCAATAAATTGAGCACTGGCAAGACTGTCAAAGAAAAAAAAAAAAAAAAAAGTAAAATAAAAAAAAAAAAATTAAGTTTGTATTTTAATTTTTTTTTGTATATACTTATAACCCAACTCATTAATGATTGCATTACCAATTACCTCATACTTTTATTCCATCAATCAATCGATCAATCAATTGAATATGTGATTATAACCATTGATTATACTAAACATATGTAATATCTAGTGACAATATTAAATATTTATTTACACTAGTAACCTACTACATAGTAACCCTAACTAGGAAATTATATGATTTTTTATACATACATTTTTTCTTCAACAGTTAAACATAATTTTTCTAACTTTTCTCCTTCTAACTGAGATGCATGATCAGACTTTACCAGCAATGATGCTAAAACTAAACATATTGAACTATGTAATTCAAGAAGTCATTTCCATGCAATAAAAGTGGAATTCCACTGAGTTTTGGTATCAAGTAATACATCTAAAAGACTTATTTGTGTTTTAAAATTTTTATTATCTTCAATTATATTACTTTCATGTTGTGCTTCTTTTAATCATTGTGCCTGTTTTGGTGACTTAAAAAACAATTAAAAACTTTTGATAAGCCTATATATGTCTTTACATTGCTTTAAACCTTCATGTACAGACAACTGCAAGATGTAAGCTGCACAAGGTTGCCTTTTTACAAGTAACAATGAATTTTTAAGAAGACGAACTAATTTCACCATGTTTGTGCCATTATCCGTGGTAATAGTAAGAATTTTGTCAGTAAGGTTCCACTGCTGAATAACATGGTACAATTCTTCACTAACAATTTTACCAGTATGTGGGTGGTCTAGAACATTGCAAGTAAGTAAAACCTCAAAAAATTTAAAATCTAAACTATGCCAAGTAGCTGTTATTCGTAATTGCTTTTAGCTGTCCAAAGGTCAGTTGTAAAGTAAATCGCAGTACACATATTAGAAATCAAGTTATATAATTGATCCGTGTTCCATAAATATGCCTTATAAATTAATTTTTTGGCTGTTTTATCACATGGAATACAAAACCCAGGCTTACAACTATGAACAAATTCACGAAAATTCTTATCTTGAAGGACATATAAAGGCAGTACAAATTTTATTATAAATTTAATTAAAAGACATGACAATTCTTGTTGCCTGGTTTTGCTACACTGGGGTAAAAAATCCTGACTTTCTTTCAGCTAATTTAAGAAAGCATACTGTTATTATTAATATAGTAAAAAAAAATTTTTGTTACTATATTGTCGTGAAATAATGCCCCAGGGTGTTATTTTATGAACGTTACAGTAATATAAATATATAATATTATTTCTTACTTCATTATTCGCATCTAAATACGTTCTAAAATTTTGTTTTGTTATGCTGTGTGCTTCCCGTAAATGAGTGGCCATGTTTGTAGTTGTATCTCCTTTGCAACTATAAGGATGAGGTTTCTTATTTTTACTGTCAGGGTTTTTACTGTCAACGCTTTTATATATCATACAGTAAGCTATATCATTGTCGTCAGGGTCTCTAGAAAAAAAGTAAGCAGTGTGACTTTTATTAATTCTATTACTTTGGCTACTTTTGCCTTTATGTTTTTTGTAACTTTTTATAGGATTCGAACTTGAGGTTTCAGCTTTAGAGATAGAAGAACCTGGTTCATTCATATCAAGTTCTGAAAAAAGAATCAGGTAGAGAAGCAATTTTGCATACGATTATATTCGCTCGTTTGCTACGTTATTTATCTAATTGAAATTACAAAACTTTATTGGTTATTTAATAAACTTTCTTCGCTCTTTATAAGAAACAATATCGTAAAAAATAAGTTGAGCAATTATTTTCCATACGAATATTAGTTTTTATAGCGATCTAATTATATATTACGGATCATTATAAAGAGCATAAGAGCATATGTAAAGCTAAGAATTAGTTTTAATAGAAATAATATAAATTTAAATAAACTTTAACTTCCGCAAGATACAAGCTCAAAAATTAGTTTATTGCCTCCTATATAAATTTAGTTCTTACAAAATATTTTACAAATAGTAAAGCCCAAGAATTAGTTAAAATTGATTGCCTTCTATATGAACTTTAGTTTCCATAAAGTCGTAAAGCCTAATAATTGAAGAGATCTAACACCAATAATGATATTGATATTATTTATTTCCAAAAATAAAAATTAATTTATATAACACTAATGAAAAATATTTACAAAAGAATCTTTCATAATAAAGTTGATAGTTAATTTTCGAAGATTTGTTTTTTGATTGTTAAGTAAATATGTGATAAAAAATGGTTTACACGTTAGGGGCTGACAAATATTAGCTCATTATACCCCGGGGGTATAATGAGCTAATATTTGTCAGCCCCTTACCTTTTCGTCACTCATTTGTGAGTCCCCTTGGAAATTATATTGATATGTAAAGTTAGACATTAGAATCTGTATTAGTTCTTCGAGTTTAAGAATAAGCGTTTTTTTTAATTTGTTATGGATTAGTGTTTTGACCCGCGGGTGACCAGTCGGGCTGATCCGGGTAGACTGACGGGTATTCCAGCCAATCTCTGATGTGGTAAAACAAACATCAGCGATTGGCTAATAATACCCGAATATCCATCAGTCTACCCGGATTAGTCACAACGGGTCAACACTAGAGATGTGCGAATGCAAGTTTTTTTGATTTTGCATCACATAATGCAACATTATTTTGCATAGTGCTTGGATCCGGATACTAAACCGGATATCCGGATAGATATCCTATTTAATTTTTTCCAATCCGAATTTATATCCGTATATATGTTAGTTATCCGGTTTATAATCCGGATTGTATCCGGATAATATCCTGTTTTACAGTCATTATCATAAATTCTTGGGCACCTAAAAAT